GGAATCATGAAGTTTTTTTTCTTCTGCTGCTTTTCCCATTGTGCAATTGATTATACTATCAGTTCATGTTCGATTGTGCTAAGGAGATCCCGCCCAAAGGGAGAAAAGCTTACATAAACATATCCTTCAAGGAAAAAAAGATTCTAACCACAGATGGGGTCTGATTTGATAGCAACTGAACAAGAAAAGAATTGTGAGATGGTCCCAGCTAGCTTGAGGAAAATGTCAGCCCATCCAGTACACAGCTGCTATAAAAAAGCCAAATGTTATATTGAACATAATTATAAAAATAATTTTAAATGAGTAAAATTTCCAATATCATACACGAACCTAGTGTAGATATATACCTGGAATACAGGTAACCACACCAATAAAACTGATACAGTATTGTAGAGCTGGAGATGTTCCAGATAAGGAAAGCCCCTTGTTGCTCCCTCCCATCTTCCATGGCTTGAAGGAGGACTTTTTAAAAAAATAAATAAATGATGCAGCGTACCGGTAATGCCCTATCACAATCTAAACATTTTTTTTCACTTTCTCTGTGCTTCCACAGAGGCACAGAGAAAATATTTATTTTGCTAATATCCTGAAATGGTTCTCTTCTTAAGCTACTTCATAATATTCCAAATTGACTGTGGCAGGCAATTTGACAGGAGCAAAGTTCACTTTGGCTTGTTTCCAGCGATTGCACATTCTACAAATGAACCGAAACAAAATGATCTTACCCAGACAAAACAAAAAAAAAGTAGAAGCCCCTGACAGGGACCTAGAAAGGTTATGATAGAGACACTCCGGGGATGGTTTGATTCACTCCAGCGATTGTGTTATTGATCCCTAGAGAAAGGAGCAAACTAACTCATCCCCAGTGCACCTTTAGTCTAATTGTGCCTGGTTATTTCTTGGGAGACTTAAGCCCTCTTAGGCTAGTCTTTGGCGAGGTACGTGTGTGTTTGAGCCTTCTTTTTCCCAAACGTTAAGATCAGTTGCTGATGTCCTGTGTCAAATACCGTAGTCCACAAGCACTGGCATTCTTCTCGAGCAGAAAGATGACAGCCTTCGTATCTGGAAGTCATTCTTATAGGATTAGAGGAAGCACAGTCAGTTTGATAATTTACTCCAAACATAAAGGCTTTTTTCATTAAGTCAATCTTTTTTCCTCCCACAGAAAAGGCAGGGCACTTTTTTCACTCAAGCTTTTGTTCAAACTTCAAAAAGAAAAGAAAACTTAGAACTTGAAGTAGCATGCTATGTTCTGCCCCACCTAATCTTTTCTATAGTGAAGAGATGGAGAACAAGTTGAACGGCATCAGTTCTGGGCACCCTACATGGGGAAAATACTCAGTGCAACTTCTTTCTCTCCAAGATGACAACAGCATCAGCCAGCTATTCATTTTCCCTCTGGATTTTTGTTGTTCTCGTTCTTTAAACCAGCTTGTTTTTTTCACCATTCTGATATACATTATTGCAATAATTGTCAGATATTCAGCTTAATAGCCTTGCTTCTTATCAATACGTTTAAATTTACAAGCCAAAATTATGTCACAGAAAGCTGCATGTACAAGGGTAATCACACAAGCAGTTCCTCCCTTACAGTGGTTGTGTGGAAGGAATACCAATTTAAACAGGGAGCCTACAAATTTACATTACTTGTTCTATGGCCCTTTGTATGTTTCCTGTATAGTTGTGTACCATTTTTGATTCTGTAGACTGTCTTTGCATACATTGCTGTCGTGTCCATGGCTGTCTCTACTGACCAGTATTGAATAAATGCTTTCCTAAAACTTCAGTATGTCACATTACAAATTATTAAGAGAAAACTTCACCACAGTTGCACATTCAATTTTCCAGCCAGTTCACAACTGCATGCTCAAAGAACAGTCTGCTACAAGGAAGGAACTGCTTATGTGACTCGGTTTTCCAGACAGGATTCTGTTTATAATATTTTTATCTAAGTTTAGTTGGTGTGTTTTTCCTCAAATATCCTAAGGACTTAAATTTGCTGATGGTCCTCAGAACTGAGTTAGAGATGTTGAGCTGTGTCATGTACTACCTGCAGCTTATCAGTGTTCCCTGGAAGAAGAATTCCTTGTTACCAGAATGTATACATAAGCTCTTAATCACTGAATATTGTTTCTAAACCTAAGAAATAGCAGTTGTTCAAAGGAAATGTCAGTACCACCAACTTAAGCATATTTAACAGGTGTATCTTCTTTCCATAGGAACTATAATTCCCTGATAGCCTCCAGGGATAGCCAAGGAAAACACTGTTGAAAGCCACAGGAAGGTCCATTAGGGACAAAATTCCTGGCTAGTGTAGGCTACAAGGGTGATCAGAACAATCTCTGTCCTCAAGCCAGCTTTGGCCCAGATAACCTGCTTCACTCTGATGTTGAGAGACTATCATGCATTCAGCTATTTTGCAAGAACTACTGACCCTTTGATGACCTTATGAAGGCAGATGTTAGTATCAGCCCTATATTGATTTTTCTGATGACTAAAGAAAAAAAATAATTGGCAGAAGATTTGAGCCAGCAAGATCCAATCAGTTTATGTATTTACTGCATCAATTTTTTTAATCCTCTCAAATGCTTTGAATTTATGTTGAGGTGGGGAAGGACTATAAATTGAATGAATATGTTAGTGGACACAATCTTATACGTGTCTGCATAATTTGCTGCAACTAATTGTGATTAACTGGTGTTAAGAAGCATCTTAGTGTGCCTAGTCATGTGCCCGGTTGCACAATGGGGATGCACCTTGTCAGTCACCTGCAGTTAACCCAGTAAATTACAAAAAAACTTACCCCAAAACCAGTAGAATTTCAGTCACAATGTCTTATTTACATCTTTTCCAATAACAAATGATATGTGTATGCATGAGGTTTACTGATTTGTGATAAACTTAATTGGAAGTGGAACATCTTTACACTAGGGTACATTCTGAGTTGTCAGAATAATGTAGAGAACTGACATCTATTTAACTTTGTCTTTCCAGTCCTTGTTTTGCAATAATAGTTGAGTAGCACAAAACTGAGATTGATGCTATCTTTGCTCAGCAATTTACCAGTTCTTATTAGAAAATTAAAAAGTAGATTGCTGATATGAGATTAACGTCTACTATTTTATATTTATATGTTCATGTTATGGAAATTGTCCTGTTCTACGTTAACACAAAGGATTCTGTTTGTGGTGTAGTGGATAGAGTGATAGACTAGGACTCTTGAGAACAGGTTTAAATCCCCACTCAGCCATGGAAACACACTGGGGGAGTAGAACTAGTAAAACCACTTCTTAAATATCTCACATTGAAAGGCCTATTAGGGTCACTATAAGTCACTTCTGACTTGATGGCACATAACACACACGTTAACACACAAAAAAAGATCTACAAAACCCTCCACATTAGGTTCTGTGTCTCCTGACTCAATAAATAACATTTATTTTGCATGTCATTTGCATTACCTCAAATAAGCCTATCTGTTCCTCAAGGGGAATTGGAAGAACACATACATTCACAATTCAATCTTTACTAGTTGAATATTAAAATGGTGAAAAGGAAGGTATCCTGAAAAGATTGTTTGTGGCCAAAGAAGATGGAAGTCGTGCCTGCATAAAGGGTGTGTGTGTGTTTGAGGGCGTGGGAGGATGTCTGCCAGCAAGATGCTTTAAATGTGATCCAGAATACTTTTGCAAGGGTTGTGTAAAGCAAAAGGACTTTACAGTTGGGTGCCTCTGTCAGAAAACTCTGGTTCAGATCTACATTGATCTGTAAACTCACTGGATGGCCTTCAGCAAGAGTTGATCATCAGTCTCGCCAGCCCTTGGCCAACAGAATTATTGTAAGGAGAGAATGTGGTGGACCTGCTTACCTTACTTTGAACTTAACTGAGAGAAGAGTAGGATACAAACACTGCAAAATTACTTTACAGTGTTTTCTGTACTGAGAAGAACAAAAGTGAAATCTCCAAAAAACAGTCTTGATGTGCGGTGAGAATGGTTTCCTATTCTGCCTACGTCTTTTTCTTCTGACAATTTTCAAGGTTTATTTTCTTCTTGTTTTCCATATCCATTCATAATCTACACTCCAATAATAATGCTTATTTCTCATTTGGTTCCATATAGATCAAGCCACATGGTGGCAGTCTTGGGAGAAGAATTCATTTGCTGTGATTGCTAATTTCCCTCCCCTTATCTTTCCGCTTCCTTGTATCCTTAAAGTTTATACTTGACACATACCAGGCCTTGTTGAATTTGCATTTTTAAATCATGTCCTAACTGAAAATACTTCTCAGGCATTATTTCTCTCATAGTTGCCTTTGAAATATTTCATTACAAATCCCCTTTTTTACAAGTCGCTTGAATATAAGCTCCCTTTGAGGACAGATCCTCTTCAATACTTGTTTCCTGAAGGAAATTTCATAGACAGATGTCCCAAGGCCATTTTAGTAATAGCGCTGGAGCTATGCAGTATGCTCCCCGTCACATAGTTGACTTTTAGAAAGAGGTTGAAAGCATCTATTTTTGTTTATACATTATGTATAAACACAATGTATAAGTGTGTAAGTGTTCATATTCCCAGTGTAGTGTAGTGGATAGAGTGACAGATTAGGAATCTGGAGACCAGGGTTTATATCTGCAGTTGGCCACGGAAACTCATTGGGGAAGTAGAACTGGTAAAACCACTCCTTAAATATCTCACTTGCCTTGAAATCTCTATTAGGGTTGCTATAAGTCAGCTCCAACTGGATGGCACAGAACACAAAAGCAGGTGACAATGAAATGTCAGTAATGTCAGTAAAGAGCTATTAAATCATGTTCCGAACATATATTCAGAGTAAGAACAAATGTTGGGTGTCTGTTTCCATGTGAATTTCAAAGGCAGTGTGGGGTACTTAACATTGATTCGGGTGCCTTCTGTGCATATAATTGTACTCCTATACTGCTGTTTATGCCGTTTGAAGTAACATCATTTCAGTATTATTTTTTATTTATTCCTTGTAGGAAGGGTAGGACCACCACCATCATCCACGGCTGTAGCTGGCAGCAATCAACCAGCCATCACGAAGACAACGTCTCTTCTTCAAGATGGTGTCATAGTCACAACTGCAGCTGGAAACCCGCTACACAGCCAGCTCCCCCTTGGGAATGACTTTCCTTTTGTTGGTCACGAACATGCTCTACATTTTCCACAGAACAGCGCTTCGAACAACAATCTTCCGCACTCTTTGAATCCAAACCTCTTTAGTTCGCTACCTATCTCTTTGCCAGTGAATCAGCAGCACCTCCTAAACCAGAATCTCTTAAATATACTTCAGCCTTCAGCAGGAGAAGGCAAGTCTGAGGTCAACCTCAATCCTTTAGGTTTTCTCAACCCAAATGTAAATGCTGCTTTAGCTTTGCTCTCCGGTGATGTGGATGGGCAGGTGCTGCAACCTGTTCATTTTCAGCTGCTAGCAGCTCTTCTTCAGAACCAAGTCCAAACAGCCGCCATGTTCCCTTTAGCACCTGTCAGTCTGTCCATCTCAGATCTGTTACAGCAACCGCAAAACAATCCTTTGCCCTCAGTGACACAGATGACAGCCCCACCACAACCAGCACTGCCAGATCACTTGCTTAGCACTCAGTCAGACATCAACAGAGCTGAGACCCTGTTGACCTATCCCCTGGGAAACCCTTTCCCAAGCTTTTCAGGCACAGACACTGCTTCAAACCCACTGCTCCTCCCTGCTGTCACTGGGGCCTCAGGATTAATGACCTTGAATCCCCAGATGTTGGGAGGTGTTCTGAACTCTACATCGGGCAACACTGCTAATCATCCAGAGGTTTCCATAGCAACCTCCTCCCAGGCTACCACTACCACAGCCACTACATCATCAGCAGTGGCAGCACTGTCTGTCTCAACACTTGGTGGGACAGCAGTGGTGTCAATGGCAGAAACATTGCTGAGCATATCTAATAATGCTGGGAGTACATCTGGTTCAGCTAAACTCAACAATAACTCTGTGGTGCCACAGCTACTTAACCCTCTACTGGGGACAGGTCTACTTGGTAAGTGAAATATTTTCACAGATTTTGAAAAGGACAAAAAATGGTGGGGGAGGGAAGGAACTTCTTTCTACTTTTAAAAACAAACCTCAATTTCACTGAACTTTTTTTCCCTAAAAGGTTTATGCTGTGTTAAGTTGTTGAACCATTCCAATGAAATATCACAAATACAATTTATAGGAAATTTTAACTATTTTTACTGTGCAACAAAAATATTCAAAACCCTATTATTTTAGAACGTTTAATGCTGTCTAAATTCACTTGACCAATTGGAATGGCTTTTATATTTTTCAAACATCATAAATACATAGATGCATCTTTGGAATGCTGTGTCTTATTTCAAATATCCAAGGCATCACAGGGTTAGTATGAGTAGCTGTGCAATAGATGAAAAGCTTCCAGATTTATCTGATGAAAAATATGGCAGTGTACCAAAATGAAGCAGTGCATAAAGAAATCCAAGGGCAATCTTGTACAAGGTTCAAGTAATAGGCTTTTTTTTGTTTTTGTTTGGGGCATGGATGTGCGCTGAGACATTTATATTCTCATGCTTCATTGGTAGGTTACGTGGTTACATAGATTTGTAGCTTAGAAATCACCACTTTCTCAAAAACGCATAAAGCATCTTAAAGCTAAGTAGCCGTTCATATGATGAAGGCTACAATCCTATACATATTTACTTTTGTGTAAACCACATTAAATTGCATGGGACATACTTCTGAATGCCCATCTATGCAGTTATGACTCAAATCTCTAGAAATACTGTCTTTCTCCACTAATTCCAGCACCACAGTTTTCACTTGATGACTTTCAGATGCATTGGAAAACCGTTTATCAGAACATGAGTATACAACAGCAGATTTAACTCTGTGAAACAGGCCAGAGAATTGCAAGATTCTGGTATTTTCTTGATTGTTGGGACAAGGGGTTGAGCTCAGCGAAGTACTGATAAAACACAGATTCAAAATTTCTTAAACATAAATGTTTTTGTTTATTTGTTTAATTGGCTTTTCTGTCAATGCAGAGACCATAGATAGCTAACAAAGTGATTAAAGAAGAAATAAAACTGCAGGATAAGTTATTATATTAAAATTCAGTTAAACAGGTAGTACTGTTAAAAGAACACAACCTTAGAACATTTTGAAAACCCACCAGAAAGGGTAAAAGAATGTGCCATACTCCTTTCTGCATGTCATGTTCAGTTGGCAAGGCCTGCTTGAAAAGAAAGGTCTTCGTCTATTTACCAAAGGACAGCAGGAGGCAGCGGCCAGCTTAACGTCCCATAAAAGGGAGGGTTCGGTTCCATAGCCAGAGTAAACATGAAAAGGTCCTCTGTTGGGCCCTTGTCACTTTCCTATGAAGGTGACAAGACCAAGACCTACTTTCACAGTAGATGTAACAACTCAGTTTCATTCTAGCCCTAAACATAGGTTTAATGTTGATAGAACCCAAATAAACGTATTGTGTATGAACTGTTATTAAGTTGTAACCAAATGGTTTAAATTTCTTCTAAGCCTACTTTCTCATCTTCCCAGTGTACCAGTAAAATAAAGGAATGCAAAATATTAAGTATGGAGTTCTAACACACCTACTAGATTTTCTGAGGCCTGATTACCCTCCTGTCCATTGAAAAACATCTTCTCTTACACAGTAGCGTTTGAATCAACACAATGAGCCTCGTGGCGCAGTGGTTAAAACGCTGTACTGCAGCTAAAACTGTGCTCACGACCTGGGGTTCAAATCCCAGGTAGCCGGCTCAAGGTTGACTCAGCCTTCCATCCTTCCGAGGTCGGTAAAATGAGTACCCAGCTTGTTGGGGGAGCAATGTGCAGCCTGTATAATTAAAATTGTAAACCGCCCGGAGAGTGCTTGTAGCGCTATGGGGCGGTATATAAGTCAAAAAAAAAAGTACTATGTATAGAATAGTAGATGGAGCAATCTCCAGCCATAGTAGAGAAGGACTAAAACACATGGATACATCTACATGAGGTTCCTGAGGTCTCGGATATAAACATTAGCCTTGCTTCCATCGGCTGAGTATTTCTGAGATGACAGCTTTTAATTTTTATTAATAGGTTGCTACCTCTGTGTATAATTTTGCATGCATTTGCAAAAATATTGCAAAAATAAAAAATAGCTGGTATTGCTGGCACACATACGTGCTTTTCCACTGGGGAATAGCAATGTTAAAAGTAATTTTAAATTAGAATTATCAAAAATCTGACTGTAAAGAAGGGAAATGTGTTGCAGATTTAAAAAAGAATTGTGAATGCTACCAGTAACTTGATAAAACAGATTTCTATGTGAAATTTCAAAGTGAGGTTCCTAAAGCTAGATAGCACTGTGCGCATTGTGGCTATATATAATTCCATGTACAGAACCATTCAGAGTTACAGTTTCTTACAGACTCAAAGAAAATATGAAGAAACCCATACCTTGCACAGCATAATTGGAGAGGACTACACCAGTAATGAGTTGCAGAGAAAATACTGTAAATTTTGTCTCGAAATGGTAGAATATGGCATGGGAAAATATGTTTGCCTGTTGGAAAATTGCTGATTCAGATATCAATGTTTTTGGAATTACAGGTGACATGTCCTCCATAAACACTTCTCTTAATAACCATCAGCTAACTCATCTCCAGTCACTGTTCAACAACAATCAAATGTTCCCATCAAATCAGCAACAGCAGCTTCTTCAAGGCTACCAGAATCTTCAAGGTTTTCAAGGACAGCCTCCCATTCCTGGGCCACCTAACAATCCAAACCCTATGGCTTGTCTGTTCCAGAATTTTCAGGTACAATTTGCTTTTCAGATAGAAAAGTAGTACAAATGACTTACTGAGTATCAATATTTTCTTCCACATTTTTAGCCATGTTCGACAGTAATAGTTTTTTGTCCATTTTATCATCCTAATGTACGTTAACATCTGTTAACATATCTACAACTTTTTCCTTGTCAGTGTTTCATTTCTACTAAAGAAAAGCAAAAATGATGGGATTGATGTCCCGAAGGTATACAGAGAGCAATTATAAGTAATTATTTGAATGTTGTGTTGTGTTCGTTATGTGTTTTGTAAAGTTTTGAAGTTCACCTTTTTCAGACATTGGCTTAAATCTTGTTCCGTAGTTATACTGATACAGCAGGAATGATGTCAACAGGAATGGCAGACTGATGCTAATTAAAGAGCCCCTGCTATGATTGCAGTTTACACATACTGTAACTTCATCTCATTGTGCAGGAGTTGTATGCACTCTGGAAGTGAAGCAGGGACACATTAATTAGTGGCTTTCTGCTGATTACATATAGCTTTTTATATGAATTTAGCTGCACAATAAAGTAAAATAAGCTTACAACCAAACTTTTTTTTTGGTGGTTATATATTGGTGTGAACAATCAGTTTGGTGCATAACAGGGAAATGACTTTTTCTGTTGTGATCCTGCATCTTTCAAATATCATCTTCAAATAATTTTGTCTCCTTCATAATTATACCATAAATACTTGTCTAAACATTAGAATGATGTGTGGCAGGTTCTTCTTTATTTTGTTTTGTTTTTCTGTTTTAGGCAATTTATTAGGTGAATTGTTTTAAAAAATAGCATTGTACACCACCAAGGGGTGGCTAGCCTGTAAAGGCAACTTATATATGGTGTGAATAAATACATGAATAAAAAATAAATTTGGGTATCATAACAGTAAGGGCTATAGTCTTATACCTCCTGCCAACCTAGCAGTTCGAAAGCATGTAAATTCGAGTAGATAAATAGGTACAACCTCGGTGGGAAGGTAACAGCATTCTGTGTCTAGTCGCATTGGCCACGTGACCATGGAAACTCTCTTCAGACAAGCGCTGGCTCTATGGCTTGGAAATGGGGATGAGCGCCGCTCCCTAGAGTCGGACACAACTGGACTAAATGTCAAGGGGAACCTTTACCTTCACCTATAGTCTTATCCCACTTTACCTATAGTGGGGATTTGGTGAGTTAACTCTTCTATAATTTCCATTGATTCAAATGGGCCTATTCCAGTTGTGACTTCTTAAGCTATGCAACAGCATTTCAACCAGAAAATTCTAAAGTCTCTCTAGAAGAGCAGTTCCCAAACATATATTCTTGGATTATAAATCAAGAACCCTTGCCAGCACAGCCAGTAATTAAGACCGGTGGGAGTTGTTGTCCAAGCTTGGGAACCATTGCTCTAGAAAAATGTGATTTGTATTTTCCATCTAAATACTCAAAGAAAGAAGAAGAATGAAATTCCTCTTGAAGAAAATTCCATGTGTTTGCTAGAACGGTTACAAAATTCCAATTTCAGCTTTTCTTTAAGTACTGGCAGAAAGCAGTGTAGGACCTCAGAGAAAAATCTCAAATTACAGATGGGTTCATGTGGAATCAGGTGGTCATTGATTTCAGTTACCACCATGAGCACACACACCCCAAGCCCAGCTCTGAGGATAACTTCACCACATGCAATGAGCATCGTTGCCATCCAAATAGGAGGAAAAACGGAGATTGTGCCTGTGAGGTGGGAGAGCTTACCATGACATGTGTACCACGTGTTTAAGATGACCTGTTTACCCTGTCTTTGTTGTTGTTATTTAGTTGTTGAGTTGTGTCTGACTCTTTGTGACCCCATGGTCCAGAGCACGCCGGGCCCTCCTGTCTTCCACTGCCTCCCAGAGTTTGGTCAAACTCATGTTGGTCACTTCGATGACACTGTCCAACCATCTTGTCCTCTGTCGTCCCCTTTTCCTCTTGCCGTCACACTTTCCTAACATCAAGGTCTTTTCCAAGGAGTCTTCTCTTCTCATGAGATGGCCAAAGTACTGGGGCCTCAGCTTCAGGATCTGTCCTTCCAATGAGCACTCAGGGTTGATTTCCTACAGAACAGATAGGTTTGTTCTCCTTGCAGTCCAGGGGACTCTCACCACAATTCAAAAGCATCAATTCTTCGGCAGTCAGCCTTTATGGTCCAAATCTCACTTCCATACATCACTACTGGAAAAACCATGGTTTTGACTATGCGGACCTTTGTCGGCAAGGTGATGTCTCTGCTTTTTAAGATGTTGTCTAGGTTTATCATTGCTTTCCTCACAAGAAGCAGGTGTCTTTTAATTTTGTGGCTGCTGTCACCATCTCTAGTGATCATGGAGCCCAGGAAAGTAAAAACTGTCACTGCCTCCATATCTTCCCCTTCTATTTGCCAGGAGGTGATGGGACCAGTGGCCATGATCTTAGTTTTTTTATGTTGAGTTTCAGACCATGTTTGGCGCTCTCCTCTTTCACCCTCATTAAGAGGTTCTTTAATTGCTCCTCACTTTCTGCCATCAGAGTGGTATCATCTACATATCTGAGGTTTCTTCCGGCAATCTTAATTCCGGTTTGGGATTCATCCAGTCCTGCCTTGTGCATGATGTATTCTGCATATAAGTTAAATAAGCCGGGGGACAATATACAGCCTTGTCATACTTCTTTCCCAAATCAGTTGTTCCATATCCAGTTCAAACTGTTGCTTCCTGTCCCATATAAAGATCTCTCAGGAGATAGATAAGGTGGTCAGGCAGTCCCAATTCTTTAAGGACTTGCCATAGTTTGTTGTGGTCCACACAGTCAAAGGCTTTTGCATAGTCAATGAAGCAGAAGTATATGTTTTTTTAGAACTCTCTGGCTTTCTCCATAATCCAGCACAAGTTAGCAATTTGGTGTCTAGTTCCTCTGCCCCTTTGAAATCTAGTTTGTTGTACTTCTGGGAGTTCTGGGTCCACATACTGCTGAAGTGTGCCTTGGAGGATTTTGGGCCCAACCTTGCTAGTGTGTGAAATGAGTGCAATTGTACGGTAGTTGGAGCATTGTTTGGCACTGCCCTTCTTTGGGATTGGGATGTAGACTGATCTTTTCCAATTTTCTGGCCACTGTTGAGTTTTCCAAACTTGCTTGCATATTCAGTATAGCACCTTAACACCATCATCTTTTAAGATTTTAAATAGTTTAACTGGAATTTCATCACCTCCACTGGCCTTGTTGTTAGCCATGTTTTCTAAGGCCCACTTGACTTCAGTCTCCAAGATGTCTGGCGTCTGGCTCAAGGTCAGCAACCCACACTATCTGGGTTGTCCAGGACATCCAGATATTTCTGGTGCCATTCCTCTGCGTATTCTTGCTACATCTTCTTGATGTCTTCTGTTTCTGTGAGGTCCCTACCATTTTTGTCCTTTATCATGTCCATTTTTGCAAAGAATGTTCCTCTATTTCCAATTTTCCTGAACAGATCTCGTTTTTCCTTTTCTATTATTTTCCTCTATTTCTTTGCACTGTTCATTTAAAAAATGTCTCTCCTTGCTATTCTTTGGAAGCCTGCATTCAATTTTCTGTAACTTTTCCTATCTCCCTTGCATTTTGTTTCCCTTCTCTTCTATTCTATTTGTAAGGCCTCATTGGACAGCCACTTTGCTTTCTTGCATTTCCTTTTCTTTGGGATGGTTTTTTTTTTTTTTGCTGCCTCCTGTACAGTGTTACAAGCCTCCATCCAAAGTTCTTCAGGCACTCTGTCCACCAAATCTAGTTCCTTAAATCTGTTCTTCACTTCCATTGTGTATTCATAAGGGATTTGGTTTAGATTATACCTAAGTGGCCCAGTGGTTTTTCCTACTTTCTTCAGTTGAAGCTTGAGTTTTGCTATGAGAAGCTGATGATCAGAGCCACAATCAGCTCCAGGTCTTGTTTTTGCTGACTGTATAGAGCTTCTCCATCTTTGGCTGCAGAGAACATAATCAATCTGATTTTGGTATAGCCCATCTGGTGATTTCCATGTGTAGAGTCGCCTCTTGCGTTGTCGGAAAAGAGTGTTTGTGATGACCACCTTGTTCTCTTAACAAAACTCTATTAGCCTTTGCCGTGCTTCGTTTTGAGCTCTAAGGCCAAACTTCCCTGTTGTTCCTTTTATCTCTTGACTCCCCACTTTAGCATTCCAATCCCCTAGAATGAGAACAACTTTATTTGGTATCAGTTCTAAAAGGTGTTGCAAGTCTTCATAGAATTGGCAATTTCAACCTCTTCAGCATTGGTGGTTGGTGCATAAACTTGGATTACAGTGGTGCCTCGCTTAACGGGCGCCCCGTTTAACGAAGAAATCGCATAGCGATTAACTTTTTGCGATCACTTTGCGATGTTCCCTATGGGGAAAAATTGCTTTGCGATGATCGGTACCCTGTTTCGCTTACCGATCATCGCAAAGTGATGATTTTGTAACAGCTGATCGGCGGTTCCAAAATAACCACCGGGTGAAAAAAATGGCCGCCCGCTGTTTTCTGGGACAGATTCCTCGCTTACCGGGCATCGAAAATGGCAGGCGTATGGAGGATTTTCGCTTAAAGGCGAGTCTGAAGCCCATAGGAACGCAGTGAAGGGGTTTCAATGCATTCCTATGGGCTTTTTAATATTGCATAGCGACGAAATTGCTTTGCAGCAATTTTTGCTGCACCGATTATCGTCACTATGCGAGGCACCACTGTACTGTCATGTTGAAAGGTCTGGCTTGCATTCGTATTGAAATCATTCTATCATGATTACCCTGTCTACTCTGTAGGAAATCTTTATGGTAGGCTTTCCACTGGCCTGTGGACGATGGTAAGATTTCCACTGTTTCTGTTTCTTTAGCTGCTATAATTTATTTTAGGATGTACAACCTTGCTAGTGGCAGTGAGAAAGATTACAGCTTCTAACTATTACTTCTTCCACCAGGAAAAATGATTCTGTGTCAGTATGCTTGATAAGAACCTAGGGATGCTGTAATTGTTCAGACAACTGTCCTGTTCTTGTATTTTTAATAGATGAATTAAAACACTCATTATCCAAAAGACTATTTATAAACAAAATTCAAGTCTTAACTTTATTCTTTCCCTTTCCTTATGATTTTTAAAGGTGAGAATGCAGGAAGAGGCTGCTTTTCTGAACAAGAGAATGATTACTCAAATGGGAATGCCACCAATTCCTGAAAATTCCAGCACCCCACTTCCACCTTTTCAAGACACAACATGCAACTTGCAACAAAGGACAGAACCATCTGTAGGGCAGCTGGCCAAGGAAAACCTTGGCCTAGCAGCCCAGAGTGACGGCTCAGTCGATGCCATCTACAAAGCCGTGGTGGATGCTGCAAGCAAGGGAATGCAAGTAGTAATCACCACTGCCGTCAACAGTACAACACAGATGAGCCCCATTCCAGCTCTGAGTGCCATGAGTGCCTTCACAGCCTCAATTGGTGATCCATTAAATCTGTCCAGTGCTGTCAGTGCGGTAATCCACGGAAGAAACATTGGCATTTCTGATCATGAAGGTAGGGCAAGGAACACGAGGGGGGCACGAATACTGAAGAACGCAGAACACCTTAAAAATTCCAGTGAGGGGGATGGCTTGGAATACTATAAAGGTTGCAACACACCCAAAAAACAGTGGGAAGGGGAGCAAAGCCCTGGAGGGGAAATGAACAGATGGAAGTGTGAGGAGTATCTAGACCATTCATCCCATGTCCACAGCAGCCCCTGCCACGAAAGACCCAACCATGTCTCTACACTGCCATTAGTCCAAGGCAAGCAACTTCCTGTACTGTTACCCCAGCGCAACTGTCACAGTGATAAGATGTTGGAGGAGAACTTCAGGTATAGCAGTTACAAAAGAACTATGATGAGTTTTAAGGAGAGACTAGAGAACACTGTGGAACGATGTGCACACATGAATGGAAACAGGCCTCAACAGAGCAGAGGGTTTGGAGAATTGCTGAATGTTTCTAAGCAAGACCTGGCAGTGGAAGAACAGTCTCCAAGTTCCTCCAATAGCTTTGAAAGTTCTCTAGTTAAAGACTACATCCATTATAATGGAGACTTTAATGCCAAAAGCATTAATGGGTGTGTGCCTAGTCCTTCAGACGCTAAAAGCATTAGTAGTGAAGATGACCTAAGGAATCCTGATTCTCCCTCTTCAAATGAGTTGATACATTACAGGCCAAGGACGTTTAACGTTGGGGACTTAGTCTGGGGCCAAATAAAAGGACTGACTTCATGGCCTAGTAAATTAGTAAGAGAAGATGATGTTCACAAATCATGTCAACAAAGCACTGAGGATGGGAAGGTATATTTATGTGTATATGTACATAACATTATATATTAACTAGGATATGTCTTAGCCAAGAATTTTTGTGTCCCTTTTTAAAAAGGAAAAAATTATGACCAAGTCCTGTTCAACTGAGCCACTTGTGCATAGCTTTCTAAACTTACATAGGTAAGGTATCCAGTACCTGCTTGTGCATGCCCCATTTTTCCAATGACGGCAATCTCTGCTCACATAATGGTAAGCTGGGAATGCACAGATAGCATTTTACACTCTCTCCACATTCAGCAGGTTTCCACCCATAATTATGTCTTTCCATGTGCTGATGCTATATATATATCTCGAATAGCTTAGGGTTAGAACCAGTTTTTAAAACTGAATACATAAAATGGTGTATTAATTACATAGTTTATTTAAATTGATAGCCCTCTCTGTTCTGTAGGTTCAAGGTAGCTTATGTTATTTTGATGCCATGTTGTATATATTGTGTGTGTCAACAAGTCATGTCCAGCATAGGCAACCCTATGAACTACTGAGTTCCAGAAGATCCCATCAGTAACAGACCTGGTCAGTAAAGTTTGTAGGTTTCTTTATTGAGTGAGTCATGTTAGGTCTTCCTCTTTTCCTATTCCCTTCCACTTTTTCTACATTATTATCTTTTCCAGCGGGCCTTGCCTTTCATGATATATCTGAAGTACAACAGCTACTTTATGTGTGTATGTTAATTTTATCTAAGCCTTTAACCACACATTTACATAGGATTTGATAATGATGAATGATAACTTAAATTACCAACTTTATGATTATACATGAGGGGGGGGTCCAGTTCGCTACCAACAAATGATGAAGCGTTTGAAGAGCCCTGTGTTAGTAGAGAGCACTTAACAGCACACAAGATGTTGTTCCTCCCTGTAGACCCCAGCTGCATCTCCTGTGTCACTTTGCACACTGGTTCAGTTTTGATAAGGGTGGAAGGGAGGCGGAGAGGTCCCATCATACATACGAGTTTTCCAATCCATGTAAAATGAATGAAATTGCCCTAATCAGAATAAGGAGCATTCAGCAAATCACATTCTAATACTGATGTTGCCACTTAGAACCTTCATAGTCAAGAGAATCCTCTTTTCCCTTCAGAAGAGGGAGTCTGAAGGCCAAGAGATGATTTATTGCCAGAGAGATGCAACATGGCATTTATTTTCTGGTTCTAATGGCTATAGGTCAGTGATGGTGAACTTATGGAGACCTCTCCCTGGGCATGTGAGTGGAGTGCTACCCGAACTTATGGCACCTGTGCCACAGCTGGCATGCGGAGAACTCTCCCTGGGCATGTGAGTGGAGTGCTGCTCCCACCCACCCCACCCCTGTAGCCGAACCTCAAACTGCACGATTGTAAGCTACCTATCCTTACTACCTTCCTTGGTTGGGGCACTTCTTTTAGAGATCGGAGATAAGGCTGCTTTATTGTTTACTGCTGTAGAACAGCCCAGGGCAGTCAATCCAGCTTGTGAATTACTACTTCCTCCAGAGGTGACTGCAAGCAAGAGGGAAAGATCCAATTAAGGCAGGAAGGAAGGTGGGAGAGAGGGACAGGTGGATTAATCAGCTTGTTTAAATGTAATGAGAGGAAACAGGGACATACTGAAATGATGCAAATGATTGCTGAAAATTTAGAAAGGGAGGTTATGTGTGTGAGAAACTGACTCTTTCATAAAACCATGAAAAAAGGAACCTTCCAAAGTGTTTTTGTGTGTATACAGTCGTGCCTCGCTTTATGATTGCCCCGCATTACAACGAAACTGCATTACAACGGTTTTTTTGCAATCACAAAACGATGGTCTAAATGGGGTTTTTCCGCTTTGCGATGATCGGTTCCCTGCTTCGGGAACCGATTCTTCACAAAACGACTATTTTAAAACAGCTGATTGGCGGTTTCAAAATGGCCGCCGGGTAAACAAAATGGCTCCCCGCTGTTTCCTGGAACAGATTCCTCGCAAGACAGGCAGTGAAAACGGCTGCCCTATGGAGGATCTTCACTGGATGGTGAGTTTTGACCCCATTGGAATGCATTAAAGGGGTTTCAATGCATTTCAATGGGGTTTTTTCCGCTTTATGATGTTTTCGCATAACGGCGATTTTCCTGGAATAGATTATCGCTGTTAAGCGAGGCACCATTGTATGTGTGTGAGAGAAAAAGAGAGACACAGAGAGAATTGACTCATAAAACCTGAATTAAAATGGCATCAAAAGCTAATCACAATTGATGGATTGCATTGCACTCAAAAGTACCCAGTAAAGGATTTCAGCATTCAAAAGTACCCAGTAAAGGATTTCAATAAGATTATATTGTGGTACACACTTGATTTTTTTTCTGGCCAGCCTTACAATTTGCTTTCTGTTTGACAAGAGTGGGAGGTGGAAGTAATTTTAAGGCATTTTCCACATAGTTCTATTTTTAATCCAAAATATGGCCCTGCAGTGTCTTTTTCTGGTAAGTAGGGAAGTTAACAAAAGAAGCCTAAACATGTTTGTCTTAAAACAGCCTTTGACGACAAGGTTTTTCTGCCCTCTGCGCCATTTGAAATATTTAAATATCTAATATTTTATTATGTAATTATTTAATTGTCGCTATATTTTATGATGTTTTATATGTTGAATTTATTTTATACTTGTTGTGAACCACCCAAAATAGCCTGGCTACATGGGTAGCATAAGAAAGAAAGAAAGAAACTTTTAACTTGGCAGCAATAGGTCAAGGTTTGAAAAATTATAGTACTATAGAAATATATCAGAAATATATCATTAGAGCTTGTTATGGGATGGAGCTCTGCAGTCCTGAGATGTAACACTTCTAAAATGCAAAGCTATCCATATTTACACAAGCGTAAGTCCCTTGTAGTCAATGGTCCTTCTTCCCAGGAAGACAGGCTTGATAAATGATTATTCATTAATCTTTCTGGATTTTTAAAGGACAAAGTAACAGTATGAGTACTTAATCCATTCATTGGTTAAGTATAACATTCAGAATGCCTCCACCTATTTTTAATTGAATTCAGTTATGCCATTTATCAGGTTCCTTAGGTGATCTTTGTTAAGGTACTAGTTAGATCCCGGTCATCTGAGGCTCCAGAAAAGTCCCCAGACTCTGTTTTTGATTCCCAGGGTCCCCAAACTGGGAACATTGAGAAACGCTGCCATGATAGATGTGACCAGTCACATGATACTCTGCAAAACAAACTGGTAAAGTGAAAACAAAAGTAGCTTTTCTAAGAAAAGCATACAACACAGATGGGGGTTGAGCTTTAAAAAACACTACTCTTCAGGGAGGCTTTTCAATCCAACCCTGTCTGAGC